AGGCAGAAATTCACTTTTGCCAACAGTCCAGAAAGGAGTTCAAGGCTCACTAACAAATACAGAAAATGAACAATGAGACATTAAAAGAACATAAGGAAAATTTATTACTTTTAAAAATGTATTCCTTTTATTTGCCTGAAGAAGGACACGAGACTGGAAACCCGTGTAGCAGAAATAGGAAGACTAAAATATAACATATATATATATATATATATACACACTAAAACAAAACCACATTATAACCAAAACGTTTGCAGTTTCTCTCTTTTTTAAAATATGCATTTTTCTCTCGTTGGAACAACTATAACCTTTTCCATATACATATATATATATATATATATATATATATATATATATATATATATATATATATATATATATATATATATGTGTTTGTGTGTGTGTGTGTGTGTACTTTTTGGAGTGGGATGTGTGCATCACATTTGTGCTCTCGATAAATATGATGCATATTGAAGATTGCATATTGATTGAAATGCGTCCATATAGAGTTCTAGTCGGAGAGGTGTAAGATCAGTCATCTTGACAGGTTCAGCATATCTATCTATCTATCTATCTATCTATCTATCTATCTATCTAAAGATGATCATTATCTATCTGTCTGTCTGTCTGTCTGTCTCTCTCTATCTATCTATCAAAGGATGCTCATTATCTATCTATCTATCTATCTATCTATCTATCTATCTATCTCAGTTTATTCACATCTATCTGTCTATCTATCTCAATCTATTTGCATCTATCTATCTATCTATCTATCTATCTATCTATCTATCTATCTATCTATCTATCTATCTGTATTATTAATATATATATATATATATATATATAATATTTAAAGGTCCGCACGTTCAATTTATTGGATTGTATATAGAGCACTTTTTAATGCAACTGTTTCCCAGTCGGACTCGACTCTGACCTACAATCCGTTATATTCTTCAGAATATTAAAATAGGAAAACCATGAAATTTAACTGTTCATGGGTTAAAACTAGTTTAAGTTGTTGTTGTTTTTGTTGGTGGTGATGATGGTGTGCCTGTGTGTTTTAAGAAATTGGTTTGCCATGCGACTAAGTCTCCTTGGATGAGAAACTTCTGTAGGTGAAGAGAGCAAAAATATAATTTCCTTTCATATTGCTTTATCACTAAATCACCTAATGGGTGTTAAGAGAAGTCTTCCTAGCAGAAAATGTTTAGGTAATCCGACAATTGTTTTGTTTTCTAAATTTAGAATTACGTAAAATCCCTGACATTAGTAAGAGATAAAAAAAGAAAAATGAAAAAGAAAAAAAAAACATTGATATTTTTGTAGATTAGATTATGTCATGTGGATTATCTTGGTTTATCGTTTGATCCTTCCCCTGTATTTTTCCGAAGTACTAGTTACTTTTTCAAGTGACTGTTATCTTAAAAATAAGTTTCAACATATGAAACCAGTTTCCATCCAATCGTCTACACTTTCCATAGTCACTTTCTTTTATCTCCTTTACATGGAAGCAAAAAGATATCTATAGTTTTTATTTTTATTTTTATTATTACTACTTTATGGTCAGTTTTATTGACTGTCATGTTTTAGTATGCCGATCAAATCTTTAAGAACTATCGACTTAAGCTTTGTAGCATTTTTATACCATGAGAAAAGTCTCTCACAGATTTTCATGAACGCGATCAACAGTACCTATCTGGACTTATTTTATTTGTTATTGACATTTGGGATCTTTTACTTCTTAAACAATGATTCCAAGAAAAACATTTGCACTGTAAGTACTTTGTCTTTTAAAAGAAATCTATAAATACGTCTGATATAAATTTCCGTCTAAATTATGTGGCAGGAACTGGAGTGAACTTTACCAAGAGTTTCATTTAATAAACCCTTTACTTTCCACTTGCAGCCCCCCCCCACTATTCTATCTCTCTGTTCTTCTCCACTCCCTTCACTTCTCCCTCTCTCTCTCTATGTTTCATTGAACAAGAACAACAAGGTATATTTCTTTAGGTTTGATTATGTATTGCTTTTTATGCATTCAAGTGTCTTCTTTACTGGACTTCTTTTTTAAAAGTGTCCTAGCTCTTCAGCACCCCCCCCCTGGACAACCATAGCTTTCAACAACCACCTATCTTGTATCACTTAATAAACTTTGACATTTTCTGCTCCTCTTACCATTCGCACAAATTTGTCAGGTAGGTGGTCTACTGCATCACCTTGTCCATTTTGCCTTCAATATATCCTGTGAGTGTCATATTTTCCAAGCCCTCCTTCCTCATTAGGTGGTGCAGAAATTTCAAGTTACCTTTCTTTTTCTGATTCTAAGTGTCCTTTTTTTATTCCCATTTTTCCTTAAGATTTCTTTCGTTGTTTACGCCGCCCCATACTTAATGTAAAAATTATCCAAAAGTTTATTGTTTCCGAGCGCTTTCAGCTAAACTGTTCGACATTTTCAAGGATTATTTTTGTTATGCCATTGTAATAAATAATGTGTACGCGCTATGGTAGATGGTATAAAAGTTGCTGAAAGTCAGCATAATCTTAATTTCCAAATATGACCAGTACTTTGTGACTGTTTTCATAATTAATATTATTAAGATTGGTTTAACGAAACACGTATTAAAGAGGGATTACACTGAAATACACAATTAATATATATATATATATATATATATATATATATATATATACAGGGTTCCATAAAGTTCGTGTTCACTTTAAAAAAATTATAACTTTATTTGTATTTGCAATAGAAATAATCTGTAAAAGATGTTATAAAGTTTAATGTACCTAGTTTTAATTAAAAAAAAAAAAAAAAAAATTTAAAATAACTCATTTGATTTCAGGCAGTTGGCAAATGTTTTCCGTGAACTGCAAAATCGTATTACCCTTTGTATTGCTAATGATGGAGGACATGTGGAAACTTAAATAAAATTTTAATAAAACCTTAAAAAAAATATAGATTTACTTCTTTCTAATACTTTTTATAAATTATTTCTATCGCAAATACAAATAAAGTTATAAATTTTTTAAAGTGCACTCGAACTCTATGGACACACACACACACACACACACACACACACACACACACACACACGCACACACACACACACACATATATATATATCGGATGCCGGATTGTTACATTTGGAAAGAGAGGAAAAGATTAAAAATAATTAATTTTTTCCTTATGTTTTTCAATGTTAAATATTCATGATATGAGACATTCTCTGTTTTTGTGTTAGTAATCCGAATGTCTTGAATTGGCAGTGAATTAATTATTTTTAATAATATGTGGAAATCTCCGCCTTTTACCTGAAGATGGTCGCGAGATCAGAAACACGTGTAGTAAAATTATGGAAAATAAAGCATAATATTTTTTTTAAATCCAAATTACAACCAAAAACGTTTGCGGCACCTTTCTTCTCTTCTTTTTAATATACACACATTTCTCTCGATGGAACCACTATAACCTTTTTCTTTTATATATATATATATATATATATATATATATATATATATATATATATATATATATATATATATTTGTGTGAGTGTCTTTGTGTGTGTGTGTAAATATAAATGTAATATATCGCACATATAGTGCTAGTGTTAATAAAACATTGCTCAATGTAATGTTATTAAATATACATATTATACCACGCGTAATGAGATATAATATGTATATTTCTTAAGATATTAATATAGATTTATGTTTTATCCAACATATTTATTTCTTCAAATGTTATTATTTATTGGATACTTGTATTTGAAATAGACACACCATATTTGTTTTGACTTAAACAGTGGTTTCTTCTACAAAAGGGGCACAGGTTTGATTCCTGTTGTATTGTGCATTTGCTTTAATAAGATTTCTTGGATATGCAGACCTATAAACACTGATAAAGAGTTAATGAATATGATGATAGATGTATGCACGCCGATATACATATTTTAATGTAAAGATAAAAATGTGGTGTCTATTTCAAATAGAATAATAATGTTTGGAGTAATATATATATAATTATTTTCTTTTTTAAAAATATGATTCTATCGCTGCACAGAAATTACCATGTTTCAAAACTGAAACTAAAATTGTAAATTTAATTATAAAAATTAAAAGAAACCAATAAAACACCAACAGTAAAATGGAAATTAATAAGAAAAGCTAAAGATTGTAGGTCATTAAATGACCCATGCCCTTTGTACATACATGAAAAATTATACATTATTAAGTTTATGAAAAATAAAAATTTACTAAATCAAAGAAATTAAATTGCTATTTTTTGACGGCACTGTCAAATATTTTCCATAAATAATAATTAATTTTGGAAAAAAGAAGAGAGATGAAACATACATATTTATATTTGATCTTTGATTAATAATTTTTTAAATACGGAATTAAATTCTAATATTTTTATTTCTAAAAATACCGTTTAGGCTCTTAGTGATTAGATGAAGGAATTAAAATTTGTAGGAGAAAAGGAAATTAAAAATTAAAATTTGTAGGAGAAAAGGAAATTATAAATTTGTAGGAGAAACGGAATTAAAATTTGTAGGAGAAAATTTTAAATATTAAAAATATGACTTACTCATATTTAGATGACCCTTTTAAAAAAATCTTTGTGTGTAAAAATGTGAATTATGCGGCTAAATAAAAACGCCAAGAACTTTTTTGTCACTGAAAACCCAGATGAATCGCTGAAAACGGATGTCATTGTTTGTGAGCAGGCACCCTCACCCCACCTAAACTTTACCTGACTTTGTAAGTAATTTGTATTTGATACATAAGTTGTCTAGGTAAATTAAAACCCAACCACCCCTAATCAAAAAGACTGAATTTTCCGTAACATTAAAAATTTAAAATATTAAGACTGTCTGCGCCTATAAATTAAGTAAATTTTTTAGGTTATTCCTAATATCGCTTGAAAATAGAAGGGAGCTCTGTTAATTTCTTTTCATGGTTTTCTTTTAAAATCTAGTTGTGTGATGCTGATTGAATGGTAGTAACATTTATTCTTATCTATCTATCTATCTATCTATCTATCTATCTATCTATGTGTCTATCTATCTACCTATCTATTTATGTTAATATAAAGTCAACGTCGGACGTTTCGGTCTATTTTAGACCATCTTCAGGACATTTTCATTAAACATAATTAACATTAGAACATATAAAATTCAACATGAAAAGACGATGGACATAAGAGCACAATTAATCCAAACAGATAACTGAAATTTTTATATAAGATCAGCGTTCCGTTTAAATATGATCACGTCGTCGTCACGTGGGCGATGTTGTGAAAACGTATTCGAAGATGATTTCCAAATATTAAAATATTAAAAAAGTCGATTGAACTATTTTATATAAACAGTTCAAGAAATCCCTTCCGTTGATATATGAATACGCAGAGATCAATAGGTTCTTATATCTTCATACAAGCTTGAAGTCCTCCACGTTACAAAGCAAATCAAAAATGATTTAAAATATCAGACAGGCACGATGGAACAATTTTAAAACAGTTCGCTAATAAATCCTTACCTTACTTGATCAATAGATTCTTATATTTTCGTACAAGCTTGAAGTCTTCCATGTTATAAAGTAAATTCAGGTTTGTATTTCCAGTAGACAGTATGTAAGCAAATATATGGATATATAAAAAAATATATATATTAAAATATATAGATATATAAAATATATAGATATATTAAAAAAAATTTTGTTTGTTTTTTTCTGTATATTTTTCTTCATACTATCTATCTATATATCTATCTATCTATCTATCTATCTATCTATTGCATTGCATCTAGACATATGGTTCTGTTATTAATGTTTCGTTCGCTCACGTGGTATGACGTCATAGAACCGCAACATGAATTTACGACCTACGTTGGCTATTTAGCAACCGTTATCGTTGCATAGCAATCTTCTTTGTCAAAATAACAGAATATCATTGATACTTTTGTTTAAATGTCCATATAACCACTCTGAAGATGGCTCATGTGAGCGGAAAGCTCCGATCAAGGAACAGCATAATAATAATAAAAAAAAAACTATCCAAATATTGGACAAATTTTGTCTTTATTTTCTCCCGAAATTAAAGCAAATATATGGCGTTTAGAACGGCTCATGATCAAACATAATAGACATTGGTTGTCTGTTATATTTAACAATATATATATTGGGTTGGTGCATAATTATCAGGCGTTTTTTAAGCAGTATTTAATATGAAAAAAGGAAACATAACAATTTAACAACATTTGTAAATGATTATTCCGGAGCGTATGATTATCGACACGCATTTTTATAACTTGAAAATAAAATAATATTTTTATTAAAAAAAGTAAACGAAACAGCAATTTTTATTAACAAATAACTCGTCTATAAAAACGCCTGATTATTATGCACAACCCATATATATATATATATATATATATATATATATATATATATATATATATATATGTGTGTGTGTGTGTGTGTATTTATCGTTTTTTTTCTATGGTAATTTTTGACAGTGGTGATTTTTTTTTACTAGTGTTCACTGTATACAAGGCTCAAGAGCCACTCGAGATAGAGGGTTACTAAAGGAGTTTGTTGCGTGAGTCATAAGATTAAATGTTAAGAAACACAGTTTAGAAAGATATGTGGGAAAGATAACGGTTAATCCAAGAATTGAACAGGTTAAGATTGTAGTTGTTGAGAAAGAAACCTCTCTGGACTCAGTTTCACAAACTAACACTTTGTAAGAATAATCTGTTCGATTGTAACTTATATCTCATGATTAGAATCTGAAGGAAATGAGGGTAGTTTGCTTCAGTGTACGCGACGTGGCGGTTCTTAGCTGTGATTAATTGATTGACTTGTTTTTTATGGCTTATCAACCCTTTTGAGGTTATTTAAAGTCGGAACATATTTTTGGATTAGAGAAATTTTTGGCGGTAAGAATTTTTCTGATACAAGTCTAGAGGGTATTTGCACGTAAGTGAATATAACCAACCTGAGTGGAATTCGAACTCGGCTCTCCGATTTCTCACTCCGAGGTAACACTTCAGCAAGGCATTTTTCAGGGCAGGGTGTGAGGACGAGGTTTAGGAGGCTTGTGTGATGTTCTATTGTGAGTGGGTTTCTCAACGATCTGTATCAGTTAACGTGAGGCTTAAGGCCACATCACGTTGAAACACCAAAGTTAAGCAAGGCCGAACCTGGTCATTACATAGATTGGTGACCGCGTGGGAATACCAGATGCTGCAAGCTTGGATATGCCGATGGCGTAAAGGATACTGGCTCGGAATTTTTGATCGGAGAGTCGAGTTCCAATTCCCGTTGGGTCCGTTATTTTCACCTATTCTTTCCCCAGTTATAGGGTAATTAGTAAATAATGTATCACTAAAGCATTATTATCGGCAAAAAAAAAAAATCATCTTACAATCTAAAACTGCTGATATCTCCTGACGAATGGATGGAGCAATTGCTGGAAGGTTCGTCTACGGAACTCTACAAATGGTTGATAAACCGTAGAAAACGAATAAATAAATCTGTGTCAGTTCTTATGCAATGCAGAAGTCTCGGCACTATCTGCTGTAGCTATCGGTTTTCTTCGAATAGACTAACCACTCTACAGGGTGTTTCAAAAAGAATACGCCAAAATCATTACACTGTTTTTTCAGGTCTATACCATTGTAGCGGACTGAATCAGTGATTATTTCATAGAGTAGTTATCAAAGTTTGATTGGCTGTCAGTTTCACCGCTGTCTTTAGTATAACTTCCGGTGCAGCTACAAACAGGACAAACCTATCTCGAAATGCTCCAAAAATGGCTATTCACTTTACTGCAAGCAGATTCGAATGACTTCATTTTTCAGCAAGATGGAGCACCACCCCATTGGCATCTCGGGGTTAGAGCTTATCTGAATGAAAACGTGCCTCAGCGATGGATTGGGAGGAGAGGTGCTAAAGACCTTGCTCTCTGTGCTTGAAACACCCTGTATATTAAAGTCATAACAAATATGAATGCTAGCCGAGTGATGCTCAGAGATAATATCATCGATCTGCTCAGCTATTTTGCCGAACATTACAGTTAGGTCATTTTATAGACGATAGAGTGTAAAGATGAAATGAGTCGCGAGAAAGCACATGGACGGAAAATCAGGAAATTCGTCTCATTTTATGCGCAGAATCTGTGGCCATAGTGATTTCGAGAGTCATGTTTTAGGGATGAGTGCCTCGCTATTGCGAGTTCTTGTACTGGGATAGAGAGATCAATACCAGTTTCAGACACGAACGAGTGGTCAGGCTGAACCTCGAGAAGATGGTTTTCCATCTCTGGAAATTTGAAACGTAGACCCCTCACATAGTGAATCCAGTACCGACTTTTGGAATTTGTTGGGTTTGATCCTTTTACTTAATTTTGTTTTGGTCATGGTTAGAAATAAGATATTGTTCGTCCCGTGTATGACGATAAACTACATCCGGTAGTGAGGCCTCTTATCGGGAGTTTTTTAATTGCGTGGAACCATCTCTTAATTGCTGTTCTTCCCAGGTTCACCCTGACTCCGGTTGGTAGCACCTGTTAGCGTTCCAGCTATGGGGGAAATACTTACCCCCACTAAACTGGGATTAAACATTATGAAAGTATAAAAATAGATTTTTACAGCAAAAATACCAGCAAAACATTTTTTGAAAAAAAAAAAATACCAACAATATCTTGGCAAAAAGCCTCTTTACAAAAATACATCGATGAAACGTGATCTACAAACTGATTTCCTTCAAAGAATAAATATTCTATTCATACGAACTATCCTAAAAATCTTGTTGGATTAAACCTATTGAGTTTGATTATGTCGTAAAACAAAAACCAATCAGATATCGTGTAATGGTAACAAAACAGTCACACCCACATGTCGTGGCTGCATCAACATCCTGGATTGAATTGTCCGAAGTTACAGCTCTAACTGTAGCCTTCATCATGACATCAAGAAGCCCCACCAGAGATTACTACAAGGTCCAGAACTCATTCACAAAATGGCAGTACAGTAACCAAGGTATTATACATCTGCTGATAGGATAGCCTCCTCAGGAGTTAGTCTAAGGTTCGGAACCTTGACTGTCAGGCGGATAACATTCATCCAGTACCCTAAATGAACGCACAAATAAGAAAGGTGAGAAACTACAGTGGTGATACTCTGAATGCACATGTTTCGTCTACCCAGAAATCAATACAACAGAATTTGAGTTCAAAATATCGTGAATGAGCTGAGAACTCAGGTACCCATGTGAGGACTAATATTTGGAGAAGGGGGATTACATAGGTTCCTAGGGGGGTGTACCAGCATGCCCTACCCCCCTGGATTGAATATTATCGTGAAACAAAACTACATGAACGAGAGAGCTAGCATCGACCGGAACGTACGTAATTACCCATGTATAATGCGCAGTTTTCCTAAAAAATAATAAGCAATATCAGGGGTGCTTACAAAAAATCTTCAGAAAAATTGCCTTAAAATAAGAATTATCATAAAACTAAATTAAAATAATATTCTATGTTTAAAACCATTTTTAAATAAAAATAGGAAACGCTGGCCATAATGAAATTGGAGAGGTACAATTTATAGAGTGTGATTACCAAACAAGCATTTCCCCACACTTTCAGCACAATTTTAGGGGTGCGTATTATGCATGAGTAGAAGCATTTTCCCCACACTTTCAGCACAATTTTGGGTGTGCGTATTATGCATGGGTAGAAGCATTTTCCCCACACTTTCAGCACAATTTTAGGGGTGCGTATTATGCATGAGTAGAAGCATTTCCCCCACACTTTCAGCACAATTTTAGGGGTGCGTATTATGCATGAGTAGAAGCATTTTCCCCACACTTTCAGCACAATTTTAGGGGTGCGTATTATGCATGAGTAGAAGCATTTCCCCCACACTTTCAGCACAATTTTAGGGATGCGTATTATGGATGAAGGCGTATTATACATGGGGAATTACAGTCTATCATACAGATTGAGACGAATAAATAAAGTTTTTAACTTTAATATTCTAATAGTTTCCTTGAACCCCAATGACGTGAGAAAAAATGTAAAAACCCAACCG